GGCCCGGGCCGCACCAGGACACCCGGCCAGCCCCCCGCCGCAGAGAAGCCACGCCCATGACCATCTCACCACACCGCCAATGGCCAAGCGCACCTCCCCAGCCGTCCACCTCCCGGAACCCAGCAGCCACCCCGGCCAACGGGCAACCCACTTGTTTCTTTTTAAAACAATTTATTTTGTGTTAGATCAGTGGTCCTCAAACATTTTGTCCTGCTCCTCAACTTAGGAGGAAGAAAACTATTCAGGTCCTCCTTGGCGTAACAAGAATAAAATAAAGGGAATTAAGTTTACCTGTAACAGCATAATAATACGCTCACAAAATGTAAGGGAACAATAAAATAACACTTTCTAAATCTCAATTAATTAAATGTTCTCATTGAAAACCTTTGATTACCACAGTGGAACTGATTGAGATGAAAATAACACAAAAAGTATCAATGTAAATCAAAATTATTACATCACAGGGATCTAGATTTGCATTTATACTTAATTTGAAAGTGAAAAATAACATGACAGGCTGATTCAGTGTCAGGAAATATTCCTCAAGACACATCTAAATCCTCATTTAGACTTGGCCACACACACTGCTGATCCTCATCAGTAGTGTGTGTGGCCTCCACATGTCTGCATAACCTCCTGACAACGCCTGGGCATGCTCCGGATGAGTCGGTGGATATCTTCTGAGGGATCTCTTCCCAGACCTGGATTAGAGCATCAGTTAGCTCCTGAACAGTTTGTGGGGCAACGTGGCATTGGTGGATTGACTGAAACATGATGTCCCGGATGTTCTCGATTCAGATCTGGGTAACGGGCAGGCCAGTCCATAACATGGATGCCCTCATTGTGCAAGAACTGACACACTTCAGCCACATGAGGTCTAGCATTGTCATGCAAAAGAAGGAACCCAATGCACTAGCATATGGTCTCACAATGGGTCTGAGGATCTCATCCTTGTACCTTATGGCAGTCAGGGCACCTCTGGCAAGCACATGGAGGGCTGTGTGGCCGTCCAAAGAAAGGCCTCCCCACACCATGACTGACCCACTACCAAACTGGTCATGCTGCAGGTCGTTGCAGGCAACATAATGTTCTCCACGGTGTCTCCACACTCATGTTCATGAGGTTTTGAGGAATTCAGATAACAAAGTGACAAAAAGATGCATTGCAATAATCAGCAGAGACAGAAATAAGGAGGCATCATTCAACGCTTGCAAACTTCAAACACAATATAATGTGTGCCGATTATATTCTTCATTCTTTGAACTTTCGCAATTTGACCAAGTCAAATGAGGGACCTTATTTCAACTTGCGGGATGCTGAGAAAAGAGTGAAAATTGTGGGACAGTCCCAAACAATTCAGGACATCTGGTCACCCTATACCTCACCCAGGTAGACTGTTGTTCATCACTTCTTACCTGAAGTTCAGATTTCCCCACACTCGCACCGGCAGCTGCCACGGGTCTCTCTTTCTCCAGCCTCCCTTTCCCCACATCCACCTGCCGGATGYCACTGAAATGGATGCTCCACCACAACCACCAGTAAACATCTGTGTTATTTTTACACATATTGCAGCATCTGCCTGAAGGGTTTGCCTCATTAAACTCTATTATTTTTGGTGCCTATGTTTCGTTTTGTGCCACGTTTTGTTCTCTGTTTTCCGCTCTCTGTGAAAGACTGATTGATTGACAGGTCTCAGGTCTGCTGTAATTGGTCCAGTCCAGAATCAGTCATGACTGGACTGATCTACCAGTTGTGTGTACAATGAGCATCATAACTAGACAAAAAAAATGCCCCGGCCCAATGTCACCATTGGCCCACCGTGCAAGTGGCCGCCATGGCTGATATCCAGTCCAGTGGTGGATTGTCTTGCTAATTGCCTCTCATTTCCATCTGTTGTATGTTCTATTTGCACAGCAGCAGGTGAAATTGATTCACAAGTGCTACTACCTAACTGGTGATTCCACAAAGGTTTGAAGTTACATTGTTTAGTTTAGGTGTTCCCTTTATTGTTTGAGCAGTGTATAACTAAAACTCATTTTACCTCAAGAATGAGACATTTTGTCCCTAGATTAAAATGATTAAAATTTACAGTTCATCATTTTTAGAACTATTTGAATAAAGTTTGATCTGTAGATTACACAGAAACACAACAAAAGAAAATTATTTAAGGCCGTTTTATTTCTGCTGCATGTTTAAAAAAGAATAACATACTGTAGTGTGTAGGTRTAAAGAGTAGAACAGCTCTCGACACTGAGAGCTTTTTGGGTTTTCAGAAAACTTTTTGTCTGCACAGGAAAGGTGGTTTTGGACCAGACTAGTGTCTTTTGTGGTTCAGTGGAAGAAAAATGTGACTCTTTCAGAGCAGAACTTCCGTATATACCTTGAAAAGCCTTGAAAACATTTTCAAAGATCACCTCCGCTCCTAAGGACAGACATTTTTGTACTAGGCTGGGCTGACATGATTTGTGTAATGTGCAGCTGTGATGGATTATGTACGAAATACGTTGTCAGAATGATATATATTTATACTTCTCATCTAACCGCAACTAAGTTCACCCTATTCAGGAGGCACACTTTATTAGGATAGTTTTTTTTTGTTTTGTTTTGTTTAGTTTTGTTTTTAATAAGCCAAAATGCACAATGACACACTTTTCTTTAAATGTATGGAGAAGAAAATACAGATATTTGTGTGAAAAAGGAAAAGTAGGCTGAAAAATATTTACTCAAGTAAAGTACAGCTAACCAACATTTTTGCTTTAATACAATAACAAAGTATTTGTACTTAGTTACTTCACAACTCTGTGTTTTAGGGGGTTGTAAATAAACAAAGTGACAAAGGTTTGTGCTTTTTTTTCTATCTTCAACCACAGGATGAGAAGAAGAAGGAAGCTGTAAATGATGCTTTAAAGGGAGTAAAAGTCACCAAACATCCAAAACTTCAGTTTACTCTGGTTTTAAAATCATTCCATCACAGAGGTTTGAAGGTTTCCCACCAACAATCCAAATGATACAATAAATGGAGACGAAGAAGAAAACACCTTTCCTGTTAGTGCTACTTCACTTGGTTCAAATCTGCTCAGTCAAAGGTCGAGATTGTCCCACACATCCAGGTAAGAGTTCCTAATTTGTTGCTCAATTTACCTTGACTACTTAAAAAAAAGAGAAGAAAAAATACACGATCTTTTCAAAWTTTTTTTCAGATCTCAATTGCTACAATGATTTCAATCAAAACATCACGTGTGTGTGGAACAGCTCATCTGTCCCAGATGATAGGAACCATGGATGCAGATTACATGCAAAAAGMACTTCTACGTATTTGTAAGAAAAAAAGACCGCCACAAAAAACAGTTTAACCTTTACATAGAAGATGCTAAGACAACACTGTGTGCAAAAATATGACATGAACACAAGTATATTCTTCTGTTTCCAGTAGTTATGAAGCTTCCTGTGACCTGATGCCTTTTGATTCCTCCAAACCAACCCTGAAAATGTGCTCTCTGATCTTCAAAATGTCCTACACTGTAAGTGAGCAACCAAAGTGCTAATTCATTTAATCTGCTTTGTGTGCAACCCCCACAATGCACACACACATAGGCTATGTATGTTTTTATTTTCACAAAAGCAAAAAAAATATTTTGTGTTCCTTTTCAGTTTACGTCCAGCGATAACTTAGCCATGAACTTGAGCTGTGTCCCTGAAAATATTTTCTACAAGCCTGCATGTCACAGTAAGTATAAACTATAATGCAAGCTAAATGCTAAAATAACTGAGAAGGTGCTCAAATATGATTTTAAAAAAATCTGTGTGATTTTACAGTAAAGGTGAATCCTCCTGGAAAGCCTGATGTCACCAATACCACAGTGTCCTGGCTCACCCAGGTAACAAAACACGAGAGAATTCGGAATTATGAATCAGAGCTGCAGTGGAAACTTCAGGACCAACCTTGGAATGTAAGTATTTGTTTCTTTAAATACAAAAAAAGTTTAGAGCTTGAGAATGAGTGTAAATGATGTGTGCAATAAAACTACACAGGGAAAACGTTGAAATGATCTGACCAGAAAAAAAAATCATTAAACAGCAACTCATTTGTTTTTTTTTTATCAGGATGCGTCTGTTAAAAAGAAAGAGAGCTGTGAGTCGAACTGTATAGCAGAACTGGATCCTGACTTACTGGTGCAAGGAGAGGCGTATGAGGCACGTGTTCGCGTGAAAGCCAAATGTGGCAACTGTGAGGGAATCTGGAGTGACTGGAGCCCCATCGAGTCATGGGTGTCACTTGTAGGAAAACCCAAACCACCATCAGGTGAGCCCAAACAAAATTAATTTGTTTATTTAAACATATTCAACCAGAAAATAACATCTTCGTGTCAGAACCATCAAATCAGTAATGGTTTGGAGAGCTGAAGGAACACTGTTTATTATTTGTTACAGAAACAGAATATCCTGTTGTAGCCAACAAAGTACATAATAGAAAAATGGGGTCAAACAGTAAATTATGGGGAAAGGGTTTTAGCCTAAACACACAATGAATATTTTGGTTAATGCTACAAAATCATCTAATGATAACCCTTTAGAACAGGATGAATATTGTTTGTTTATCATTAAGCTAATGAGACTTTCACTGCGCTGTGTTCGTCAGAGACGGCTGTGGACGTTCTGAACATCTCTCTGGCAGGCTTGGCCGTGTTTGGTTTGGTGCTGATTGTCATTTTCATCCGAACACACAAAACCACTTGGTAAGACAAAAACAACCTCAAAACAATTTTGCAATCTTACATTTCAATATACGCTATGTTGTGCTGTTTCACTAATGTTTCAAATTCTACTATAATTTTAGAAAGATGGTTGGTCAAAGTTAATCTTTTTGTTTTTTGGTTGTTGGATTGTTTAGGATTTACATAATAAAGAGGATCACAGGTCCGCCCATTCCAAATCCTGCAAAATCTGCACATATCCAGGTATGTTCACAATCAAATACACATATATGCTTTTTACTATGAAAAGGGTGTCACCAGAATATGCTGTAATTTATTAAACTTTAAGAAGCAGCTGGATTTGGGTCCACTGGTGATGTCCAAACAACAAATTTACAGTTCAAATAAATTTTTTTTATAATTGCCTCATGGTAAAATAAAGTTAGAACACCACAATTTTTCTACTTAACCAAATTCTAAGATCCTAAACAGTAAACATTGGCAGAATTGGCAGAAACAATAATAAGGTCCACATGAGGACAAATGGTCACTTAAAGTGTTCTATCTCAAAATATTTTAGGTTGACCATGGACATAGCACTAAATATTACCGCAGGAAAATATTACCTGCCTAGAAAAACAGACACTATTTTCTTGTCAGTTAATAAATGTGAACTTTACACTTTGAACATGATAAATGGAGACAAACCAGYCAGATTAAATCCAGACTTAACCAAAGGCTAATTATCCTCAGGATGTTCCACATTTCTTATTCCTTTCCTGCTTGATTTCCACCCACAGACCTGGATAAGCCCAAACATCACCAGTGAGTCCTTTTACTCCTTCTTGAAACCAGTGGAGATCGTCTCGGTAGAGGTAACCTCCACAGTGGATGCGCTCACATTCCATGAGCCGGATGTGAAAATGATGCCAGAAATCTACAACTACGAGTCCTCTGGCTCCAGCTTCTCCAACCCGAGTTACTCTGAGCTTTGTTCTCCTTCTAGTGTGTCCTCACTTGCTATAGAGCCCTGTGCTGCTGACGCCCCGTACGGGCCTGTCCGAGGCCAGGTGGAGGAACCAAACACACAGCAGAGTGAYGATGTAGCTGCAGAGAAAGACACGGAGATCATGAAGCTAATTGCTGATGCTAGTCAGAACGGTGAGGCTGTGAAGGTGATTTTAGAYTATGAGAGGGTTGAGAAGCTTCAGATGGAGCGCGTCAGGCTCCGCAGCGTGGATTCAGGCATGTGCAGCTTTGAAGAAGTCAGTCAGGAGAGCGTGGAGGTAGACGGACAGAGTGAGGGAACGCAGATAAAGGCAGAGGGAAAAGACAGGGATGGGATGGAGGTAAATGTTCAAAAGTTGTTTGGGAGCAATAGAGGCATTTTGGACAAAAACTCCATTCAGGTCTGTTTTGACTACAAAACACTTCCAAAGCTCCAGCCTGAAAGTCCTGAGCTTCCAAGCCAGGATTCAGGCGTTAGCAGTGCAGGCGAGGAGAATGAGAGCCAGGAGGAATGCATGGAGGACAAGCATCAATCGACTCACTTCCTGTTTCCTCCTCCTCTTTCCTGTGACTCTTCACCACATCCTTTGAACCTATTTATGCCTCCTCTTCCAAGTAATAGCACACTTACGAAGATGTTAATGTTAAATAGCGTGGGAGTGGAGCCTTGTGGTGATGGCTACAAGTCAGTGAGACAGGAGCAGAACTGAGAACAGGCAGCAGGAAATACAGAAGCGCTGACARCATTCCTCACACCTTAATGACCAAAGATGCTTTTCTACATAGTTCTCAAGAATTCCTCCAATGCTCAGTGTCCAACAACTCTTAGAGATGGCTATTTTACTGAATGTGTCTTGTTACTTTTATTAGGTATTTTTAAAATATATTTATTCAAGTTCATATTTCAAATACAAGGAGTCAAGACCAAACATAAAACTAAAGTGTGTTTATTCCGAAGAATGTAGTAGAAAATGTATGTTTTTTTTGTTTACTCTAAAAGACTGCAAAGTTATTTAGTATWGCAACAAAATGTATCAGTCTACTTTTTCACCACTTTTTACAGCATCTCAAAAAACTCAACTTTTAAACAGATCTGTCTGACTCCCTTGACAATGTCTATTATATAAATACATATATTTAATATTGTGTTCATTACCAAATGTTTGCATGCTATTACAAAGAATTTAAAATATATATTTCAGTACTAAATTTAGTAGTACATTCATCCTTTCAACAAATACTGTTATCCTCTTCTTCTGCTTTTATTGTTGTTGTTTTTTTTGCAAAAAA